TGGGGAGTGAACCACTGGATGGAGGACCTCCCTTTCTCTCTGCCTCTCCTTCTCTCTGTGTAACTCTGACTTTCAGATAAATAAAAAAATCTTTAAAAAAGAATAAAGTTATTCATCAGCGTTACTTACATCATGATTTCTGGTCCCAACATTGTGGAAAGGCTGGTGAGACTGCCTCCTGTGGTGCTGTCATCCCTCCTTGGTACCAGTTCAAGTGCCGGCTGCTCCACCTCTGATCTAGCTCTCTGCTAATGGCCTGGGAGGAGCAGTGGAAGATGGTCCAAATGATTGGGTCCCTGCCACTCATGGGAGAGCTGGGTGAAGCTCCTGGCTCCTGGCTTCAGCCTGACCCAGCGCTGGCAGTTTTGACCATGTTGGGGGTGAAAGAGTGGATGGAAGATCTCTGTCTCTTTCTCATTATTTCTCTCTGTAACTCTGACTTTCAAAATAAATAAATGAGTCTTCAGAAAAAAGCAAGGAAAACATGATTTCCTTCTTCTTGCCTCCCTTCTCTTTGACACCTTACTCAGACTTTCCTCACCATCTCTCCTCTGAAACCCTGCGAGGTTTACCAATGGCTTCCACCTTGATCCAAGTAATGGCAATGTGAAGTCCTCATTTGACTGCATTTACTAGCTGTGTTTGGCAAATATTGGTTTCTCCTTATAGAAAGAGCTTATTTGCTTGGTTCTCCTCCTACCTCCCTGGAAGTCCCCTTTCAGTCACTTTTCTGAATGTTGTTACTCTCAGGATTGGGTCCTTGGATGTTCCTCTTCTGTGTCTAGGCTCACAGTCTCATGCGTTTAGTGCATTATTCAAGTTGCTTCCTATTATCTGATTTCCTGTCTCCTCCTCTGCACCCTGTCTTCTCTATGTGTCTGTCTATGTATATATGTATATTTCTCTTTTTTTAAGATTTATTTTATTTGAAAGACAGAGTCACAGAGAGAGGTAGAGACAGAGAGAGAGGTCTTCCATCCGCTGGTTCACTCCCCAGATGGCCGCAACTGCCAGAACTGCGCTGATCTGAAGCCAGGAGCCTCCTCTGAGTCTCTTACGTGGGTGCAGGGGCCCAAGGACCTGGGTCATCCTCCATGGCTTTCCCAGGTGACAGCAGAGAGCTGGATCAGAAGAGGAGCAGCTGGGACTAGAACCGGTGCCCATATGGGATGCTGGCATCCTGGACCAGGGCACCAACCCGCTTCTCCAGTTTCTCTCATAACACATAAGTAGTCAATCGGCACATCTTGCTGTTTGCATGATCAATGTATCTTCAGAATTTGCCCACTTTTTACCACTTCAGGTGCTCCTGCTTACAAGGAAGGCGTTGTTACCTCTTGTAGGATTCTGGAATAGCTCTGCTTGTCTTTTCTACTGATGGTCTAGACAAAGAAATAACAAAGAAGTGGAAGTTATCATTATTATGTTTTAATGTAATCAACATAGACTCCTAGGCGTGGAGATAATTGACACTGGACTGTAGAAGTCAATACTCAGCACCTCTAGTGATGTTATTTTATTTCTTCCTGGTTGAAAGTGTCATTGACTTAAGAAAAGAAAGGAGGTTTTTTTTTTTTTTTTGACAGGCAGAGTGGACAGTGAGAGAGAGAGACAGAGAGAAAGGTCTTCCTTTGCCATTGGTTCACCCTCCAATGGCCGCCACAGCCGGCGCATTGCGCTGATCCGAAGGCAGGAGCCAGGTGCTTCTCCTGGTCTCCCATGTGGGTGCAGGGCCCAAGCACTTGGGCCATCCTCCACTGCACTCCCTGGCCACAGCAGAGAGCTGGCCTGGAAGAGGGGCAACCAGGACAGAATCCGGCGCCCCGACTGGGACTAGAACCCAGTGTGCCGGCGCCGCAAGGCAGAGGATTAGCCTATTGAGCCGTGGCACCGGCCAAGAAAGGAGCTTTTATCAAGTGCTTATTATTCAGCAGGATCTGGGCTAGGGAATGAAAGGGATGACTTATTTACATGCACTGCTCTCTGGGTTTTACCCTCTGTAGATGGCATGGAATGGTTAGAGTACCCACAAAACACGGGACAAAAATGCTTGTGATTTTCTTAAGGGTCTATGAATATGTCTAGGACCAACCGTTGTGTTATCTTGCTCGTGGATTGTGACCTCTAGAGATTACTAACTCCTGCTGCAAGTATTGAACAAGGTGGCTCATGGGAAGAACACTAAAGCAGTTGGAAGCAGCACAAACATTATCAATTTAGAAACAAGAACATATTGTTGAGGATTTTCTCATTTGGTGACTTGGCCATTTGCTGTAACAGTCCGTAGGATGTGGAACAGACCTTGATCCCAGACTGGATCCTGTATACACAGACTCAGTCATGTGCAGACAATCTTGGGGCTCAGCTGGAGATGAACTACTAGTCAAACATCTGGCCCCTGCGGCAAATTGGTATTGACAGGCAGTAATGTTATCAGAAGCAGAAGTTTCAAACTCTGCGGGCAATACTATGTTTCTTTTTAAATGCTGTTTATTTTCTGGAACATAATTTAGGGAAAATCATTGTGGTAAATACCAAAACTCTTGTGTTTTAAATTTGTAAACACTTTGGTTTTTGTTGGAAGAAAACCTTTCAGATTGTTGGTCTGTTCTTTGTGATATTCTGATACATTTTTTGTTGATGGCTGGTTTATTCTGGCTCTAATAATTAGGATCATAAACAGCCAGTGTGCTGGAGCTTTGGGAACAGCCAAATTTGGTGTCTTGAGAAAATGGCGATTATTTCATTGAGTTCAAACAATTCAGTACTTAGAAGGCTTTCTACTGGCACAGTTCTAATTAGTCTCTGTATCCTGGACATGATTGATTTTATTCCCCTTAGTGTAATATTATGCATGTACTCATGTCCCAACTTTCATTTGGAAAACTAATTGACAGCTTAAGATATTTTATCCACAAGGTAATAGCCTGTTCTGCCATGTGGCAACTCAATTATTTTAACTTTTGAGGATAGTGTAGTGGACACATATTAATTACTCTCTTCTCAGATTCCTTCTTCATTCTGGGATATATTCTGATTGCTACTGTAATTGTGTGGCTTTGGTAGAGGCCTCCATGGACATAAAGATTGATCTAGATGTGGTACAAGATGCATGTTGACCTATTATGATATCCAATGTCTCTGAATACCCTTATTGTCTAAAGATAGACAGCTTATCCAATTTTGGGCCAATTGCAATACTTCCTGTGAATTTTTACAATTTAACATTAGGCAGAGAGCACTGCAATTCTTCTTTGAAAGTTAACATCAGCAATATTAGAAAGATATTTAGGGCTTTTGCTTCTACACCACTGGAAGAAATAGATTGATGGGATAAAGTGGAAGTACACTTCATCAAGGCACGGGCAGCAGTGGAGGTTGTTAATTCTGGCAAATCCTTTGATCCAGTCATCCTGTTGCCCAGTTGTACTGAGACTTTCACAAAACTGGGATACATATGCCAATAAATCCTTCAAAAATGAGTAATTTCAATGAATTTGCAAATTGCAAATAAAATATGTCTGATAAGTATGGGCAAATATGATTTTTCCTCATATCCATATTTCTCCTGATTCTACCCTACCTTGTACCCCACACAACGTGTCACACAGTAGTAGCATGTATTTCATTCTCTCTGTATGTGTGAAAAGTAGTGAATAACACAATTCTGAGATATTTTATTTTATTATTTTTTAATTAGAGAAATTTAAGTGAGAGTGAGGAAGAAAGTGTGTGAGCTGTGATTTTATTCCATTCATTCACTTCCTAACATCTATGATGTCTGGGGCTGGCTGGAGCTAGGAGCTGGAAATAAAACCCAGATCTCCTAAAAGGATGACGGGAACCTAAACACTTGAGGGTTCTGCCTCCTGGCATCTGTGTTGGTAGTAACCTAGTCAGGAGCCAGATCTGGGTATGGAACCCAGCACTCTGATGTGGGACAGGTAGACTTAACTGCTAGCTTAAATTCCTGCTCTCTAGGGTGGAATTGTGAATTACATTTTATTCACTGAAAAATAAGCTTGTTGGAATCAGAATAATGTAATCCTTTTTTCTCACAGTTCCAATATACACTGTTTTTCTTTTTTTTATCCAAAGGCACATTTTTTTTCCTATTTTAAAGCAGACTTTAAATAATAGTATACTTATTTGGGCCCAAATGGTGTCAGATTAAACATATATTTATGTTCTAGGTAAATGAAGTCTGATAATTCAGGCAAAGAAATCTTTTTATCATCATCGACACATTTAGGAAAATAAGCTTAGGTAAAGGTGAAAACATGAGATTGAAACTCAAAAGTTTAGTCCATCAAAAATGGAAAACGATTTAGTATAAAAGATCATTTTTAGGTAGCAGCACATCTGTGCTAAATTATTATTCACAACTAGACATCTGTCATCACTCTTTTGCTCATAGGCACATGAAACTAAAAGAGGAATCTTGGGTAAACCTAAACATTAGAGCTTCAACACTTCATTGAAGGTCAGTGTCTATGAATCTTTTAGGAGGGGCTTTTTTATTTTTTTTAGTTTATTTTTTTTTCGACGGGCATAGTGGACAATGAGAGAGAGAGACAGAGAGAAAGGTCTTCCTTTGCCGTTGGTTCACCCTCCAATGGCCGCCATGGCTGGCGTGCTGTGGCCAGCGCACTGCGCTGATCCGATGGCAGGAGCCAGGTGCTTCTCCTGGTCTCCCATGGGGTGCAGGGCCCAAGCACTTGGGCCATCCTCCACTGCACTCCCGGGCCACAGCAGAGAGCTGGCCTGGAAGAGGGGCAACCGGGACAGAATTCGGTGCCCCGATCAGGATTTGAACCTGGTGTGCCGGCGCCGCAGGTGGAGGATTAGCCTAGTGAGCTGCGGCACCGGCTTTAGAAGTGTTTTTAATTGCCCCTACCACAGAGTGGCACTTCCCATTTGAAGTGATATGCTAAAATTAATTTTCATGTACCTGTTCTTCTTTCTTATAATTCCTCCTGTAGCACTTGTACTCTTGTAATTTACACCGTGGACATTCATGGACATACCTTGTTTTCCTTACTTGATAATGGAATCTATAGAGAAGAATGCATGTTAAAATTTCTATGTATTAGGAAACAAGTTCTGGTATAGGATAGATGCTCAGTAAATGAAAAATGCTGTTACACATATACTGTAAATATAGCAAATAATGCCATTCGAACTTAGACATGACAGATGGAGAAGAACACAGGTAGACAAGACCTGATTGCAACTGAAATTGCCAAAAAGTAGAGTTCAGCAATTTTTTAAAAATTTATTTATTTTCATTTTGTTTGAAAGTCAGGGAGAAGGAGCCAGAGACATAGAGGCAGACAGAGAGATCTTCCTTCCACTGGTCCATTTCCCAAATGCCTCCAAGATCTGGGTCTGGGCCAGGCCAAAGCCAGGATCTTCAAACTCAATCCAGGTCACCCACGTGGACAGTATGAATCCAAGTACTGGCGCCATCACCACTGCCTCCCGGGATGCATATTAGCAGGGAATTGGATCAGAAGTGGAAGAGCAAAGACATTGACGAGGTGCTCCATGTTTTTGTTTTGTTTCGTTTTGTTTTGACTTCTTTGTCTTTTTGCTCAAATAATAAGGAGCTAACCTGCTTTGAGTGTGAATAACAATGTGCTCATTATTGGAAGGAAAAACTGTATTTCTTCTAGAAAAGCAGATACAGAAAGGACTTGAACCCAGATTCTCATATGGTGCATTAACCACCATACCAAACACCCACTCCAATTCTCCCTTTTAAAGCAATTACCTACAGAAACTTGTTGCAAGAAAATACTTTTGTGCTCGCTTGGGTAGCCACATATACTAAAATTGGAATGATACAGAGAAGATTAGCATTGCCCCTGCGCAAGGATGACTTGCAAAATCGTGAAGCATTCCATATTTTTTTTTTTTTACTTCTATGCTACACTAGTTTGCCATGTAGCAATTGCACTGTGCCATATTTCAATAAGGACTGGGAAAATTTTTATGGATATATTGTCTATTATGGTTTGCGATAGTATTTCTCTCTAGTTCTCAGTGATTTAAATGTGACCAAGACTTCTGTACTTTGTCACACAAAACAGGTTTTCCAGGTGACTATTTCAGTGAGTGTCAAAATAAGAATTTATGGTGTATTCCCATCAATTCACTTTTGAAATTAATATATATATATATATTACAAAAAATACTTTCAAAATTAATGCCTTCAGAATAAGTAGTGTTGCAACTAATGTGAATCCTGGGAACTTGCTCTACCAATGACAAAGTTAGAGACCAATGAACAAGGGCAATTTTCATGAAGTTTACTGAGAGAGCCAAAGACAGGAACTCCTGCTAACCAGGAGGGGAAAGAAATCCAGTAAAGCCTAGTGGTGTGGGTTTATATATGTCAAAATAATTTTTTTTTACAGAACAAAGAATGAACTTTGTCATGGGACCTGTCAGGGAAGTCGTTGAGTTTTACCATACTCCCCCAGCTGATCACAGACAAGCAGTCACCATACGCTGGCCACCTGGTCACTTACTTCAGTATTGGTGCCAGAGCTTGTCTTTCACCCAACTGGATTCATAAAGTCATCTTGCATTAGAGGTGAGGCCCTTTGCCCTTTCTCTTCTGCCTAACATTCCCCACTCTAACAAGCTTCACACATTAGCACGTTAACAACAACAACACCAGAGCTGGTGCTGTGGTGCAGTGGGTTAAAGCCCAGCCTGTAGCTGGTATTCCATACGGCACCGGTTTGAGTTGCAGCTGCTCCAGTTCTGATCTAGCTCCCTCTTAATGTACCTGGGAAAGCGTAGACGTTGGCCCAATTGCTTGAGTCCCTGTACACATACAGGAGACCCGGAAGAAGCTCCTTGCCCTTGGCTTCGGATTACCCTCAGCTCAGACTGTTGTGGTCCTTTGAAAAGTGAACCAGCGGATGGAAGACCTCTCTCTTCCTCTGTTTCTACCTCTCTATGTAACTCTCTCTTTCAAATAAATAAAATAAATCTTTTTAAAAACACCTTTAATCTTCAGCTTTTGAGAGTAGAACACATTTTTTTAGAAAATGTGTGAAGTCATTACTAGACAAAGGCTACTACAATCTTTAAGCTAGTTTGTAACATGGGGTTAAAAATAAGGCATGGCTGATGACAGTAAGTTTGATGCCTTTTTGAAAATTTTATTTAAGGTGTACAAGTTTCATATATTTCCTATATACAGATTTAGAAACATAGTGATAATTACCATACTACCCACCCTCCTGCCCATGTTCCAACCCTTCTTCCTCCACCATCTCCTATTCCCACTCTTAATTTTCAGTTTATTTTATCCTTAGGAAGCTGGAAACTTGCTCAATGCAAGTATCAACACACATTCAAGAGTGCTGTCATTAACAGCTCTCCTTGGAGTAAATGCTGACGATATCAACTTTGAATTTGTATTGGATGCAAAATTTAAGGTGTGTTTATTTTATTGTTTACTTCACCTATTGTCAAACAGGATTTGAAATGGGGATGTATGATATACATTCTTAAACACCAGAAATACCAGAGAAAGTTAACTATGCTCTGCTGACATTTTACTTTAATTCCCTTCTCTTGTGTTCTAACAAAAGCTTTCTGGGCGTAAGAACAGATTCTACACTCTGTAGAAATAGAATTAGTCTTCTGAAATGCCTCCTCTGGTGACTGCTTCTCTCTCCTTGAGGGAGTCTCTGTTGGCTGACTCAGTCACATCAAAATCATTGTGCTTTTTAATACCGCGGGAGATGCCCTCTTAAAAATCCTTCTGCAGTTCCCTGAGGGGGCCCATAATTTCCCAGGGCGACTCCCGGTGAAGAGGGAGTTGACAGCCCAGGAGAAGCCGGCTTGTTTACCCGGGCAGTGATCGCATCTTTGTGCCCTTGTTCAAATAATAAGGAGATAACTTCTTTCAAAATGGAAAGAAATGGCTGTGATTTGCTGATCCACTCCCTACATGGCTACCATGACAGGAGTTTGGACTGGCCAAAGTCAGGAACCAGAAACTCTAGCCTGGTCTTCCAGTTGGGTAGCAGGGTCCAAGCGCTTGGGTCATCTTCCACTACTTTTCCAGGAGCATTACCAGGTAGCAGAATCCAAAGTAGAACATTCAGAACTCAAACTGGCACTCTGACAGGGGATGCTAGTGTCACAGGTGAACACTTTACACTGTGCACCACAGTGCTGGCCCCAACACTACATGTCTTCCAGAAAGATGGGTAGAGATTCAGAACTAATCTGCTGTTGCAAATAAAGAAAGAAATATAGACAATATATGTAACTTAGGTATAAATTTAAGGAGAACTTCGCAGTCATCTTGTATCCTTGAATCATCTCAGATGAGGGATAGTGGTGCATCCCTTCTGCCCTTGGTGTGCCTCTGGGAATGATGCTGGGCCAGGTTTTAGTTCACAGAATGTGTTTGAAAGGGATTTGTAGAAAGCTTTAGGTAGATTTTTTTGGTTGTAAGAAAAATAAACATGCATGCTAATTCTTTAAAAAGGAGGTCCATCAAAGGTAGAAGTGAACTGAGACAATGCAAGTCATAATAAAAGTCTCTGAATTTCTTTCATAGGCCACATACCCATTCTTTCAAGGCTTTTCCTGTTCGCTCTGTCATCAGCTCCATTTTTCCTCCCATCCGACAAGCTAGCTAAGGTTATTTTCAGTGTTTGCTCTTATAACTTTGATTTGGGGCTTAATCTCCCAGCTCCAACTTTCTCTAGCAACTGAACTTACTGTCAGTTCCCCTTCTAGGAGTTGGGACACTGCTGGCTCAGTGCATGTTTTTAAGGGAGGCTCCAAATTGCAAGTAGCCATGCGAGTCCTGGTGAGAGAAACCTTGTCGACCTATAGTCTGATTACCTGCTCTGTATGCAGATTGTGAGTGGTGCAGCTTCATGTACAAGGGACCGTGGGTCACTGGATGACAAATACAGTACAAAGTGCTAGTCATTGTGAATGTCAAATAATACGGGATGCTTCCATTTACAAATTATGGTTGCATGGTGGGTGTTTGGCATAGCAGTGACAATGCTGCTTTGTGCCACACACCCCAAGCTGGAGCACCTAGGTTTGAGTCCTGGCTCTGCTTCTGATTCTAGCTTCCTGCTAGCACACACTCTGGGAGATGGCAAGTGGTGGCTTGAGATGTTGGGTTCCTGCCACCCGCATGGGAGACCAGGATTGAGTTCTTCACTCTAAACTTCAGCCTGGCCTGGCACTAGCTAGTGCAAGCATTTGGGGAGTGAACCAGCATATGGGAGCTCTCTGCCTTTGATCTCTCTCTCTCTCTCTCTCTGGTCTATCTTTCAAATAAATAAAATGAAATAAATAAAAGTTACGATTGCCTAATAATAAGGCTTAGTTAAACTAAATAACAGAAAGTGATTCTCCAAAGATAATGAGTTTAATCAGAAGTATGTTTTCCGTAAGGTTGCAGTAGCCTTTATACAATGTTGTGGTTCTGGCAGTCTGCTAAGATATTTCTTGGTGTCAGATATGTACGTAAGATGCCCCTGATGACCTTCCAGTAGTATTTGTTCACTACTTTTTGTTGTTGTTGTTAGTGTTTGACACGTTACTTCATTTTTGTTATTTCAGTTTTCACAGGTTATAAAAATAGGTATCTTCATTAAACTAACCTTGAATTATCCTAAAAGTAATGCTGAAAATTTGTGATAGATGGTGAAGTGAAATGGAGATAATCTAAAAGAAAATTTGGAAATGAAACAAAGTAATACAGTCTAATGAAATGAAAAAACTAATTGAATAAGCAGTTATTTGTTGTTTGTAAGGAAATTAATGAGTATATCTCAACAAGGATATAAGTAGAAAAACAACATAATCTTTTTTATTTATTTATTTTTTTTTTTTTGACAGGCAGAGTGGACAGTGAGAGAGAGAGACAGAGAGAAAGGTCTTCCTTTGCTGTTGGTTCACCCTCCAATGGCCGCCGCGGCCGGCGCGCTGCGGCCGGCTCACCGCGCTGATCCAGTGGCAGGAACCAGGTGCTTCTGGTCTCCCATGGGGTGCAGGGCCCAAGCACTTGGGCCATCCTTCACTGCACTCCCGGGCCACAGCAGAGAGCTGGCCTGGAAGAGGGGCAACCAGGACAGAATCCGGCGCCCCGACCGGGACTAGAACTCTGTGTGCCGGCGCCGCAAGGCAGAGGATTAGCCTAGTGAGCCATGGCGCCGGCTCGACAACATAATCTTAATATTGTAAATACTTCAAAAGAAAATAAAATGAATTTGACAGATGTTTACAGGATTAAATTTTAGCCTAAAATATATTTTATTTTTCCTTGTTTATTTTTATTTTTGATATATCATATTTTGAATTTACATAATAGTCAAACGCTTAACGTTCCATAAAATAAAAGTTCAACAGGTAAAAAGTTAAAAGACCATTCTTGAGCAAGAAAATAGCAAAGGGTTATAAACAATAATAAAATGAAAAGGTATTCAACTTCACTTATAAAATTTGTCGTTTTTAAAACATTTATTTATTTGAAAGGCAGAAAGTTACAGAGAGGCAGAGACAGAAAAAGAGAGAAAGGTCTTCCATCTGCTGATTCACTCATCAAATGGCCTCAACGACCTGAGATGGGCCAATCCGAAGCCAGGAGCCAGGAGCTTCCTCCAGGGCTCCCACGTGGGTGCAGGGGCCCAAGCAATGGGGCCATCCTCCACTGCTTTCCTAGGCCATAGCAGAGTGCTGGATCAGAAGTGGGGAAGCCAGGACTGAAACAGGTGCCCACATGGGATGCTGGTGTTACAGGTGGTGGCTTTACCCACTACAAAACAGCAGCAGCCCCCACAGTAAGTTTTAAAAGTCATAAATTCATTAAAACTATAGTAGTATATACTTCTTAACAATTTGATAAAGATTTAAAACAAAGTTTAACAAAACACTGTATTTGGAACAAAACTGGTACACACAAGCATTTATTTTTTCGTTTTTGTTTTTTAAAAATTTGAACTCCCACATAGAAGAGAGAACATATTGCTATCTGTTTCTGTGTCAAGCTTATTTCATTCAACATGATGTCCTCTAGTTTCAAGCATTTTATGCAAATGATAGTATTTCTTTTTAAATAACAATAATAATCCATTATATATTATAAATATGTACCACCTTTTCTTTATCCAGCCTTGAGAAATTCAGGGAAAAAAAGCATTGTACATGTCAACAACAACCAAAAAAAGACTTCTACTTTCTTTGTATCCTCACCAGCATTTGTGGCTCTTCTTTGAATAATAGCTATTTAGATGCGGAGAGGTGATATCTCATTCTGGTTTTGATTTGCATTTCGCTGATGCCTAGTGATAGTGAGCAATCATTCACATATTTGTTGACCAAATTTTAGGATCATATTTGATTCATTTCCCTTTTTATATTCAATAAATCAGTAATATATTTTAGTTGTACACTTCCAGTGTTTGTGAAATTGTTATTCCTTCCTTCTTTCACTCCTCCTACATCCTGTTCTTTTCATATTCCCTCTCCTTCTCCCATTCTTTATTTTGTGTTCACCATTAAATCTGAACTCAGGAACCCATCAAAGCATTATTCTCCTAATGGTTTCTTTGTCTCAAGTATTCTCGCCTTGAAGTTAATGCTCAACACTATATCCAGAGAAATTATATTCCCAAGGTGCATATTTGTGTTCAAGACCATTTTATGGATTCAATTTTTTCTGAAGATTCATATGAAAGAGGTACTTGCTTTATCGTGTTTATTGTAGCACTATTCACAGTAGCCAAGATATGGAACCAATTTAGGTAATCATCCTAGACAATTGGATAAAGAAATGGAATATGCACAATGGAATATTCTTGAGCTATAAAAAACAAATAAGATTCTGAAATTTGCAGCAAAATGGATAGAACTGTGAACCAATATGTTGATGGAATAAGCCAGACAGATAATTTGTTCCTCTCTTATATTTGGAAATTTAAAAAAAGTTTATCCGAACTTAGAATTGTGATTACTGGAAGCTGGAAAGGGCAAGGGGAAGTGCAGTAAGGGGGAAGTTGGATAATGCATGTAGATGTATACAGTCAGAGGTAACAAGTTCTAGCATTCCACAGTGTGGTAGGGTAGATCAGTTCACAGAATTCTGTGTAAAGAACTATAAGAGAAGAGATGGTAGGATCAAAACACAAAGGAAAATTAAGGAAAAGGAAAGATTGGTTGATCAGTTTGTTTGATTTATTTCCGGTTTCTGTTAAAATTTTGCACTGTACTTCATAAAAATGTGCAAGTCGTGCATGTTCATAAAACATTTAGAAAATAATTCAAAGCATTTTCTACATACTCAAATGATAACTCCAGAATGTAGCTTTGATCTTACTTACAATCTGAGTTTGCCCCAAATGGTGAGTCTCCTCTTGCTTCCAGGTGATTCATGTCACATATATCACATAGCTCTTGATATAATTTCAAGGTTTCATGCATTTTCTGATTTTATTACCTCTGTCCTCCATATTTTTCAGTTGGCTAAAATCCAAATCAGTTTTCAAAGTCCAAATTCAGTGTAATTTTCTGTGTGCAATCTTCTAGGAAGCTTTTCAACACCAAATGCCTTCTACCAGACATAATCATTTCTCTTCCTCAATTCTATCATACTTATGCCTCCATCATTATACACTTAACATACTCAGGTTACCTTATAGCAAGATTTATAAATATATGTTCAGTTTTGAAATAAATAAGTTGATTTTGGTGCAGAAAATTTTAAAATTTAAGAATAGTGGTCTCATAATATGTATTTTCCATGAACTCTTCGAAGGCTCCTCTTTTAGGCAACCCCATGTGATTCTTATCTTCAGAGACAATGAGATGTTAATTAAACAAACCTTCTCTGAAATATACCTTACGGAGAACCTTCAATGTTTTTTAAAGTTGGACAATTTAATTTTTTTAGTGATTAATTTTTCAGCTTTATTGATCATATACCAAAAGGAATAAACATTACAGAAAGGCTTAGCTTTGTTAATGAGAAAGAATATACAAAACTTACAGCTACTTTTAAAAATTTCAGTGTTGAGAAAGGCTAAAAATAACTCTTTTTTAACTTTTATTTAATAAATATAAATTTCCAAAGTGCAGCTTTTGGATTACAGTGGCTTCCCCCGACTCCCCATAACCTCCCTCCCACCCATAACCCTCCCATCTCCCTCTCCCTCTCCCATCCCATTCACATCAAAATTCATTTTCAATTATCTTTATATACAGAAGACAAAATTGGACAACTTAATAAAGATCAATGTGTTGATCATTTTTAACTGCACATTTATATACATTATGCTGCTTATAAAGTTAGGTAACTTCATCATGATTGATGTGTTGAGATGATTTTTTTATCTCATTTTATATGCTTTACCCCAGTTCTCTTAAAGTGATTGCATTTACATTTAAGTGGTTTTTATAAATTAAATTACATTTATAAGCCAAGTTATCAAATATTAAATGAAAAGTTTTTAAAACCTCAGGAGGGCTTCTTTTTTGAATTTTATGTAAGTTATGTACGTTTCATGTATTTTATACATACAGATTTGGAAACATAGTGATACATCTCACTCAACTTTCCCTCTTGCAGGCCGGCGCTGTGGCTCACTAGGCTAATCCTCCACCTAGCGGCGCCGGCACACCAGGTTCTAGTCCCAGTCGGGGCACCGGATTCTGTCCCGGTTGCCCCTCTTCCAGGCCAGCCCTCTGCTGTGGCCAGGGAGTGCAGTGGAGGATGGCCCAGGTGCTTGGGCCCTGCACCCCATGGGAGACCAGGAAAAGCACCTGGCTCCTGGCTCCTGCCATCGGATCAGCGCAGTGTGCCGGCTGCGGCAGCCATTGGAGGGTGAACCAACGGCAAAGGAAGACCTTTCTCTCTGTCTCTCTCTCTCTCACTGTCCACTCTGCCTGTCAAAAAAAAAAAAAAAAAAAAAAAAAAACTTTCCCTCTTGCCCACACTCCAATCCTTCCTCTGCCCGAGACAATGTTCAATCCACACTTGTGTGAAAGCCCCTTCTCCAGCTCCTGTCAGGTAACATAAGGTAAACACTTGTGTGACTTACACACTGCCACCTCTAGATAAAAAAAAAAGAGAAACA